CAGCTGGTATTACCATCAGTTGCCTTTCTTATTATTTTGGAACTCGCAAGACAGTATAAATGACAAACAAGCTCTCGCTGTACCCTGGATATCCATTATCATAAAGTAAGTTCAAGAATCTATAAAGTTATAGCTGTTCGAGCATCATTCGCTGAAAAACTGAATGGATTAATTAGTCTCAGGAGTTAAAAGCAAATTTTTCTATGCAGCCGGTCAGCTTGTGGACTGTCGGTGATTTGATTTTTTCAGAGCAGCAGTACTTATTGGGATAGAAATTTGTTGGAACGTTTATCCGTCAACAATTCTATCATCGCTCTTCCTTCATATTTATCACTTTGGTATAATTGTGTACTTGATTGTAACCCGTATTGAGCGACATAAGCTCAAGGAAAAATCTGCTTAGAGTTGTTGTTGTTGTTAAGTTTTCAAATCAATTTCGGCGGATTTTATGCAAAAGGGCTCGGTGATTTTTTTGATAACGAAGCTCATTTCCTAAGGATCTTCTAGTAATGATGAAATACGATTCAAGTACTCGATCACCGCCCGCATTTTCCATTTGCTGGTGCTAATATCCAGTTGCTGAACTTTAAAAGTATTCCATGATGGCTACTCCAAGATGGTTCATGACCGATCATTTCTAGTGGAGCGGAAGTTAGCTGGTTTTGACTGGGGCCTGTTACCTGAAAGAGACTTCGAAAAGATGGGTTTTGTTTCTGAGTCTCTTGTCCATTCAAGTTCTGAAAAAAGGAACCTTTTGGGATGCTCCAGCAAAGTCGCCTGGGAGAATGAATGGAAATGATGAATGACTCAGTGTGACGGTGGAGAATGCAGCGGAGATCTATCGGAATCAATGAGCGCTTTTGTTCATCTACAACCAATACTATTTTGATCCTAGTTTTTGAAAAAAGTAAGCCCATGAAGAGAAGTGAAAATTGCCTAACAGTACTCCTTAGAACTGCCATATCTTATCTTTCCGTAGAAGATTTCTAGTCCTATGCTTTCACTTTTTTCTCGCTTTTCCCCTTTCACTTATCTTCTTGCTCCTGGTATAAAACCTTTTTGTCATATTGGTAATTAGTTGATAGTTCGGTATGTTCTGCCTCGATTTGTTCTACCGTAGTCACTGAGAAAGGGTATCATTCGTTGTTCTTCTTATGATTATACCGTTTTCATTCTAATTTATAATAAACCGTTCAGGCTGTGATGGTTCCAATAGTGATTTTTGTGTTTATTTCGGGTTGTGTTGCTGGGTTAGCTTTAGTTTTACATCATTGTCTGGAATGTTCTTTTGTTTCGAATTGATTATAAAGTCTAATAAAGAAGTTTCACAATATTCTAGTGTCGTCGAAAAAAAAAAGGTTAATGACACCTGACTGCACAGTTATCTGCCCTTTGCTCGGATGTATCGCAATAATTCGAAAATTTCAATGGCTCTTCAAGAATTGGATGTTTTTGGTCTGTTTCCTTCCATTTGAGAACCGGTTATTCCGAGATTTTCTAAAAGATGTAGGAGGAGGGGTGGGACTCACTTTTTGATCAAGTTTTTAGTCATGACTAAAGATTACACCGAACTTATTTCTGGCAACTTGATTGAATCAACTTCTTTGGACTGTTATTTGTAAAAATGACTATGAAACAAAGTTTAATTGTTTCAGCTTTAAAGTCGCATGGTTTTTCCTCGGCTTCTGCGTTGTATACCACATGCAAGTTCATCAGCGGCTCGTTTCGTCACAGCTGAAGCCAGCAAGGTGACCTCAGAAGCTCCTGCCAAGCATCAGGTCAGCCAACTAATATATATTTTTTTTCAAAAGTGAGGTCGTTTTTGCAGGTCTTTGATCGGCAGCTGAAAAGAAAACAGCGGAATTGGGCCGTTAGACAGCCGCAGTTCGAGGATGCACAATATCTCAAAGAAGAGATTGGCTGGAGAGTGGCAGATCGGGTAAGTCGGGGGAGATGGGAATAAGTAGACTTTCTTAATGACACTTTCCGAAGGAATAGTTCTGTAGGTTAAGTGGGAAACTCATTCATGGTCTCTTTGACAGGTATTCGATTTGACCAAGTTTAATCCGCTGGCTCTGGATATCGGCTGCGGTGTGGGGCATATTGCTCCACATATGATCAAGGAAAATGTAGGGACTCTTATACAATGTGACATGAGTGAAGAAATGGTCAATAGGAGTCATGGAGCTGATGACGCTGAGGTATTCACTGCAATTTTCCGTAAGTCTGCCGCATGCTTCAAACTCTTTCCATCGTACAGTTTGCTAGGTTGTTTCTGATGGAATAGTAAAGCGGAATTCTTAAACACCTCTCAAGTGCTCATTCTTTGAAATCTATCCCGAAACGCTTTTGATCTGTGCGTTGAATTTTGGACACCTGAACAATTCTGCTGATTTTGTCTTCATTATTCTGTTGAATTCGATTTCAAATTCGCTTCATGTATAACAGCATGTAAACGAAAAGCAAAACAAACATAAGCATTGAAGCCAGCATTTACTCTGCAGGTAAAAAATAGAAAAGATTCCTGAAATTATTCGAACTGTATACAGGTAAAAATTGAACGAGTGGTATGTGATGAGGAAAAGTTAGAGCCTTTCAAAAAAGACCAGTTCGATCTCTTGTTGTCATCCTTGTCTGCACATTGGATCAACGATCTACCTCAGTGGTATGTAATAAGCATTGGTATTACTGAAACTAGTGATAGCTTTACGATTATTTTTCGCTGATTTTACATTTTTGGGACTCCAATATCACAGGTTTTCTGATAAAATATTATCGTTAAGGTTTTGTCGTTGTTTCGAGATTTTGAAGCCCGACTGCCCGATTATTGGTTCTCTGTTAGCGGAAGATTCTCTTTATGAGTTGAGATGTTCACTGCAATTAGCTGAGGTTTGTACTGGTTTATTCGATGGTTTCAGGCAAATTTTTGGAAATGTGAGATTTTTGTTATTTTTATGAAATGATAACTTCTTGAATAAGAGATCCAGGACTATAGACTATTTGCTGCTTCACAGCACGTATATTCTTGACGTTAATATTGCAGCGATTTTCAACTAATTATGCTTACAAAATCTGAATCCTTTCAATTTTTCTCATATTTCTGTGATCAAGCTCATCTGAGACGTTGTTTTTTTTTAGATGGAGCGCACTGGCGGTGTTGGATTGCACGTTTCTCCCTTCATCAAGCCTCAAGATATCGGCAGT